AGCTGGTGTTTACGGGGACCTTCACTGCCACTCTTTTATGAGCAATAAAAACTGCTGTTGTTTATTGGAAATGCATTTCCATTAAGCACGTCAGTTGCGCCTGAACACAGAATCACCTTGTAGCAGGAAATAACACCTTCTCTCCCTTGCATGGGAAGCCAACCCTTGCTGGCTTCACAGCTTCTAGGAACTTGCACATCTTCTTGACTTTCTCTAGGAGTTTGGAAGTGAAAGTAAGGAACAGCTTTTCCTTAGCTATGGGATCCTGAGCTGGACAGATTATAAGAATTTGTAGCATTTCACTACGCCCTCCAAGACATTAGGACAAGTGAAACTGTATGTTGAGCTAGAAAGAGTGTGCGGAGTAGAGCACAATAGCAACACCCCTGAGATGAGTGAAACGCCGCTGTTGACTATTTGTAAGAGAAGGAAAGGGAAGAACTGCAGGCTGTTATGGCCGTATATTATACAAGTGCTCTAATTACTAAAACTCATGGCATGGATTTGTGTCTGCCAGTAGACCAAAAAGTAAATCCTACAATTAAATTGACTTGGAAAATGAAATAAACAGGGGTAGGAGAATTGAAAGTCCTGGCTCTTTATTTAGGCATCAGAGAAATTTATTTTGCAACAAGCTAGGAGCATTCCATTAACAGTCTCAGAAGTGCTGAAGGACTAAGAGCAAGGCCCTTTGTGAAGAGATAGCCTGAATTAGTAAAGATCTAAGGGGGTTCTCAAGACGTGTTTTGAGTTTCAAAACCAACTGTAAATGGCTGAAGTTACTCCTTGGTGCTCCATTTATATTCTATCCTCTGATAAGAGCAAAATATTGAGGTATAACCAAAGCAAGGAGCATTACCTTTGACAAAGAAAGAGCTCTTGTTCAGAGTCTCCTTTGGAAGAAGAGGAGGACAGAAGAGGGAAGCTAAGGTTGCTGATCCTTGAACCTACCTGAAATATTAAGGCAAATTTACCTAAGCGACAGAAAGTAAAGGAGCATTCCTGTTCTGGATAGCAGCTTCTGTAAGGTTTGGGATGAGAATTGTCCAAGCGTCAGTGCCATAGCCACAGAGTAAGCAAAGTCTCCTGGTTCCCATTCTTGGGAGCAACAACTAGGGCTGAAGCGCAGTCCAGTGAAGCGGGCCCTCCAACTGTGCACGGAGAAGACACTCCCTCGAACCTCAGAAGTTATGCCTAGGAAAGAGGCATCAGGCACACAGCAAAAGACTAAGTAGAACCTACTGGTGGATTTCACGAAGCTAGACCCCACCAGCAGGGCAGCAATGCTGGCTGGACCTAGTCCTCAGTTAAGCTGGCTGGCAAGAGAGCTTTTCTGAAAGGTCACTGAGTACAGAACTAAATAAAAACAGTAGCTGTTGTCTTTACCTCTGTAAATAAATATGCGATCTTTTGTTTCACTCTGGACAGAACATGTAAATGCTTTATTCATCCTTACGCCTGCTCTGGCAATACCCACATCTTCTTAGGAGGGAGGAACAGCGAATCTGTGCAAGCCGGGGTGCTCGTACCCAAGGGTTTCAGCGGTTCTTCGGAGCAAAGGCATCGTCATCCCCTTTACGCCGCTCCAGAAGGCAGTCTGGGGACTGGGAAAACTGGGAAAGAGGCTCAAGCGTGAGGCGCCGAAGCCCGGCGGGCGGGGCGGCGGGGCCGGCGCGGCAGCCGCAGTTGC